CATTTTTTTCTCTTTTCTCTGATAAATAAAATTTAGCATTAATTTAATGCTAAATACTTAATATGCAATAATATTTATGCAATAATAACCTATAGTATCGATTGGCCGATAAAGTGTTGTACATAAATGACTTAAACCATTATTTTATCATTAAAAAACTATATTATTTATCATTTGAATAGAGTTTAACAGTTTAACCAAAAAGTACTTTAACTCGTATTTTTAATGTATATATAAGACAGGGATTTAAAGTTCAAAAACATTATTTACATAAAGATAAATAAAATGATGTTTTCTCTAATCAAAAGTTATTAATAACTAAAAAAAATTTTACATTTAGTCTTCAGATTAACCATCATTTAAAATATTTTATAAAAAAATCAACATACCATTCACACAGTGTGTATCTATGTATTAATATTACAGGTATAGTATATACAGTATATATTTTATATGCACTGTATGCTACATGTATACAGTGTATACATGTAGCATACAGTGCATATAATATATATATAGTATATATATGTTTATTTTTTTAAAATTAATGTATTAATACATATTAAATTTTATAACAAATAGAGAAATACTTAATACTTATTTTTGTAATCAACAAAATAAATGCATAAAAATAAATGTTTATAATAAGTTGTGTCAAATAAAACTTTTGTATATAAAATCGCAAACCTCTAGAAGTCATTGAAAGAGACAATGACTTTTGATGACAGACTAAGAAACAGTGGGTTATGTTTTGTATGATATAATGAGTATAAATTGCATTTTAAGTAACACTTTTGTCGTTATTATTATCATTATTTAAATATATGAAGGTTTGCAATATTATAAAACATTATGTTATTTGCTAGTAATAATGATGAAAATTTTCAATTATATTTAAATATAAATAATATATTTAAGTTATATAAGTTTAAATAAATGCTGGTATATTTTAGTTGTTTATAATAGAATAGACCTGGTTATTTATAAAAAAAAATAGTAAACAAAAAATCAACAATAATAACAAAATTGAATACAAAATAACTGTTTCACTATTTAGTATATATTTATATTTTGCATAACATCACTGATTTAGGAAATAATTTTGATATAAATGTATGTATAATATTAGTGTAAAAGATATTATTTAATCTTAACGGAGTATATAGTCTGATATTATAGAGTAAATAATTTAAATATATTATGTATAACAGTATAAATCACTATCAAATGTAATGACATCGCAGAGGTTATAACAACGATCACTCGTCACTACCCATTAATCCCTGGCCGTCATCTGTCATAATATCAGTTCCTGTTTTGTTGCAAATATTTAGTTGTCTTTATTTTTTTCTCTCAATTGTCGGAAATATTTTGTTTTATTTAGTTTTTAAAAACGTAACATTTTTTTGCTTCATTTGTAAGATTCGAGATTTTTTGCTAACAAAACCAAAAAAATGTTTTTTAAATATTTAGTTTAACGTTAAATTGAAATATTTATGTTTAAACTATAATAAGAATCTTAATAAACATTTTTGTCGATTAAAATTGTATTTAGATAATACATATTTTTGTCAAAAACTATTTTATTTTTATTTTCCTTAAGCGTCTAATATTTTTGAGTTATTTATAATAATTATTAATAACAATAAAGATTTATTATTCTTTCAGTAAAATATTTATATATAACAATAAAATATAATTTGATAAGAGATAAAAATAATTTATATAAAATTCTGAACAATAATTTTGTTTATTTTTATAATAGACTAACAATATTTTGCTTTATTATACAGTGTGTATAATAAAACCACATTTTTTCTCAAATAAACTTAAAAACTGAAACATTTATCATACAATGAATATCTTTTATCTATAAAAACATTCATATAAAATACAATTACTACTTGACTATTAATCTTAAACATAAAAATAATTATTATGAGGATCTCTTATTAAATCTTTATAGATATGAGTAAAAATGTTATTATATATTTTTACAGTAAATACAGACTACTGTTATAAATTATAATAATAGGTTACTTAACTTAGGTAACTTAACTAATATTAAAAATGAGACAAATTATGCCATAAAACATTATAATTTATATATAGTACTGTATATACTATATATAATAATAATTTATAAAATAATATAATAATATTGTATACTTGATAAATGGACATTCATCCAGGTATAACTATAAAAACTTTTTATGTTTCCACTTATTTTTATTATTATTTATATAATATTTTTAAATACAGTATTTTGAATGCATTATTCAATTCAATTACAGTATTTATATGATTCTAAAATATTTAATTTATGTTATATATGTGTTTAGTGTATTATTGTTATAGTGTTTTTATGATAACTTTAAATAATTTTTTATTAATGATTGATTAGCTATTAATATATTAAAATTAATTTTTAAAATGAATTGATTAATATATACAGTATATGTTTTTATTTATATATTACTATTTTAAATAAATACTTTATAAATATATTAACAAAATGGTTATAATTATGTTTAAAACAGTGGCATTATTTTAGTTATACCTATATGTTATTGACAATTAGCTTTCTTTTCATGTATTAGACAATTTAGATAACGTTAAACTTTGAAACTAATATTTTTAACAATTTTGATTTATTATTTTAAATTAAAATATATCATACAATATATCAGGAATAGAAATATTAATTTTAATATAACACAATGAAAAGTCCATATCCTTATATGATAATTAGCATTATGTCAAAGTGACTATGAAACCATAATTATACTACTAATGGATCTAGCTTAATTTTTAGCAACTTTGAAAATAAAATTACATAATTAATCATAACAACTAAAAGGGCTTTGACTTTATATAATATATAACATTATATTTGGCAAATATTTTAAGCTTCATTTTTTAATAAATGACTTAACTATTATTATTATTATTGAAGGATATTATATCTGAGTTATGCAGATATGGTTTGTTTCAATTAATAAAATGTTATTTAATAACTCTCTATCTCTCTCTCTCTCTCTCTCTCTCTCTCTCTATATATATATATATATATATATATATATTCTTTCGTGTATCTCTTCAGGCATTACATTATACCATATAATTCTAAGCTATTGTATAATCTCTTAGAAAACTGCAATCAAAAAATTAGATGATATGATCTGAAATACAAAAAGGTTGGGTTAAAAACAATATTAGTTTTTGTATTTATAAACAAAAATATCATAAATTTAGCAAATAGTTGTGAATTGAAAATTTATTATTATTAGACAGTTATTTGTGTAATATTAATGTTGTTTTTATATTGTAATATTGTAAATAAATTATTTTGCAAATAGTTTTATTTTTAATTATTTTAAACTAAACGCCAAAAAATTTTTTTATGAATAATCGATAATATCTTTTATAATTCTCAATTTTAAAATATTAACTATAATACTGTATAAATCTTAAAATTAAATAATCTGTTAATCCATATAAATTTTTATTATTTTTAAATAAAACTAAAAATTAAGTTTTATATTATACTGTATATACAGTAGTATAATATATAGTGGCTTATCATTTACTATGAATATCTAATTAACAGTTATTATAAAAGATCATTTATATTGTCAAAATTTATTAATCATGTGAAAATATCTATTTTTATTTTGTTAAATTATAACCATAATATTTATAACTCAATACTTGTTTTTGAAATTTAATACTATATTTTGGTGATAAAATAAAAAATAAATTTTTATAAACAAAAAATATTAATTAATTGACTGTTTAATGGTGAAACCAAAACAGTTATGCACTTCACATAATTAATTTTACATACTTTGAAAAAATAGAAATAAATTATATATTATAGTACTATAATTAGTTTTAATGGCATATAAATGTCACACTGATGTTACATATAAAACAATAGCATAGGTTAAAGCAAACAAAAATGTAATAATAATAATAATAATGACGAGTCCATTGAAAAGCAATTTAAAGACAATGAACTGTAGTTAAACTTTTGCTAAATACTAAACCAGAAATATTATCTATTGTTTTATTTGTTGAATTGTTTCTGTTTTTCTATAATTAACTCAATTTTATATTTGTTTGTATATACTGTAGTATTTGATGGGTTATCGGGAAAGACAACGAGTTAGTGAAAACAAAATGCATTTTACTATACATATTGTACTGTAAATACATTATTATAGTCTCAGACAGTATTTTATATAATAGATGTCTTAGTGTTGATATTTTCAGTGAAATGTGTGAGAAATGATTTTTCTTTAGTAAACATTTGAGAAAACGATAAAAAAAATTTCTGTGATATAAGAAAGTGTTTGTTTTATTGCTATTATATCTCTCTTTCATTTTTTTGTTAACTATTTAATGCATTCATTATATCGCAAAATATTTATTTATATTATTGTTTTCTCATTAAATTTTCATTTTAAGATTGTAAGGTATTTTCTGAAGTCAATGTGTGAGTTCCCATTGGAATTTGACATACAGGTGCTAAAAGGATACCCCTATACGTTAGACTTTCTATAATATACTGTGTATTTACTACGAGTATATATATATATATTATACCATAGATATATAATTACTATTAAAGGGTTAAATAACTCTATCTTAAAATATCATTGATAATAAACTTCAGTTATGTGAGTGAGTGATTAAAATTAATTTTTAATTTAAATACATTTTTCAATTTTCAATTTACTCAATCAATAGCAATAACACAAAATAAAACTACTGTATTGAGTAATAATAAAAATATTAATAACGTTTTAAAATTTCAAAACAAATGTATAAAACATTTAATTAAAAATGTGTGATTTAATTAATAAAATAATTTATATAAAATATTCAAACATTTTTTTTAATTAATTTGTATTAAAAATATGAACAGATGTCAAGATTTTAAGGATTATAATCAACGTGTTTTCTATTTTTTATAATTTATTTTGTAGTCTTTCCTCTATTTTTTTACTTTTATTTTATTGATACGATCGGTGTTTGCACCCCATCGGGAGCACAGGTCGACAATCGACATTAGTTTAGTAATATCTTGAAAATTAAAATAATAATAATATTTAAATTATAAAAATAAGTAATATTTAATGTATAATCAAACTTATAATAAGAACAAAAATATAATTTTATTTATTTAAAAACAAATTTAACTAAGAATTCTTGAAACCCCAATTGGGAAGACTATACTTAGGGGTTATTCACATATTACATTCCCACTTTTTAAGAAATCTAGACCCCAATTGTTGAGTGTAGTCTAACCTCCCCCACCCTTAATGAAATAAAATACCATACGGTTAGTCGCGGAATAGGTCTTAAGGCCTCATATGATGGCTTTGAGTTTGTCATCAATTAATTTAAACAATAAAATACTGATTTAAATAAATATTTTATAAAATTATTTTCACTTTTAAAATATTCCAAAACTGAAAATAAAACTATATTCAAAAGTCATATTTATTTAAACTGTTTTATCAAAAAATTAACTTTGATAAAAATTAATCCCTTTAATTATTTATATGCGAACGTTAAACAGGTCTCTACCCCTCCCCCTCGTACGCAAAAGTTCGCTTTGGCCGACACCCCCTCCTCCAAGGCGAAAGTAATATGTGAATCATCCCTTATCATTACCTTACGTGTAATGTTTTTTCTCAATAATGTGTGATATAATTGCTTTGGTCTGTAGTATAGACTCTGTACTACCCATTACGGGTAAACACTTAATATCCTGAAAATTTAAAAAAGTCGTTCCTATTTGTCTACCGGAACATACAGTCCAAAAGTCGTCTACATTATCAGCTAAACTCTATTTTAAAATATGTTATATTGTATGTTATACTGTACTTTATTTTCTAAATTAAAAAAAACTTTTTGCTGTAAATGTACAGTAATTTAATTTTTTCGTAACGTTAGAATAACAAATTTCACGTAAATTTCGTCAATAAATTCATAGCATAATAGTGTAAATCTATAGTTGTTAAAAAAAAGTTTATTAGTTTATTTATGTATTAAACTTTGTAACAAAATTTATGTAAAATTTTTTACTCTAACATTAGAAAGATTATACTGTATATACAGTATATTAATTAATTAATTAATTGATATTATAATATTGCAAAAATGATCAAATGTTTATAACTAATACGTTTTTATACTAAAAATGATATTAAAATAAATTTTTAAAATTAGGTAATTTATTAGCCATTTTTAGTTAAAATAACAAATATGGGGAATAATAAACAATTTTTAATTGTAGTGACTTTGATTGCGTTGATTTTAATAGGTTTGTTATATATTGATATAAATATATATATTATTGTTAATACTATATTAGAATATAATATTTATATTTATATAAACTAAAATTTATGTAAAAAGATAATACTCGAGTGATTGAGTCTAAGCCAAAACCATTACTATTATTGGCTGCCGGTGCCGGTATCGGTGTCGGTGTTGGTGTCGGTGTAGGTGTAGCGGCTGCCGGTGTAGCGGCCGCTGGTGTAGCGGCCGGTACCGGTGCAGCCGCTACCGGTGCCGGTGTGGCTGCGTTTAAGCACTACAAAAATATTATTAAATATAAAGAAGATATGAAAATCTTGATACGTGTTTATGGAGACCAATTCAATGGTACGCTTAGCAATGGGATAGTCATCATAAAAAATCCCGCTTTCTTTAAGTTATCAAAGAAAAAACTTAAAGTTTCATCCGATAAAACAAAGTCTAATACTATCACTACTACTACTACTACTACTACTACTACTACTACCACTACTACTACCAGCAAATCTTCAACTGGAAAGGATTAATTTATTTATATTAAAAATCCAATTTTCATAAATATATGATTTAATTGTAATTTATTAAATATTAATAAATAGTTACCAATTTTGCAGATTTTTGTCATTATATTCAATAAGTTTCCCAATTTATTGTCATTTATTTTGTAGTTTATTCTATTTCTTTACTATTTTTATTCTTACGATTGGTATTTGAGTCCCAATGGTATCGACAATCGACAGTTACTTATTGAAAAATAAAATAATTATAATTATATTTAAATCAAAAAAATAATCAACATTCACCATTTATTATACAATTAAACTTATAATAATAACAAAAAATAATTATTTATTTAAAAAAACAAATAAAACTAACAATTATTTGAATCTCCGATTTTGGGAAAATAGAAATGACTGCCTTATGGGGACATATAAAGAGAAATTGACAAAATTGATGGATATTTGAATTTTTATAAGTTTTTTTACTATATCATTGATGATAATATATTTTTGTCAATAAAAAATTTAATGATGAATCAATTTCTATTTATATGTGATTACGGGTAATGTTTTTCCCGATAACGTAATGATGTATAAGTGTTTAGGTCTGTAAAGACTTATAAGTCTAAACAAACCATTAATTAATTTTCTGAAAAACAGTCACAAAAGTAAACACTAGTTGTCTGCCAACAGTCCAACAGTCGTTTACTTTACAAACTTATCTAAACTCTATTTAACATATGTATTACAGTTAGAGTTCAGACAACAAACTAAGTGAGGAAAGTCTTCAAATAAATTCCTTTTAATTTTATTGTAAAATATTGAAAATATTTTATATTCCCTCCCTTTATCGTTAGAAAGGATAATATATTATTACAATAAATAGTACCAAAACTCACATATTTAGCAAAAAAGTTTCATCAAAATATTTAAAAATATATATGAATTAAGTAAATTTAATTATACTATTTGTTAATACCATTCATTATACAATTTGATATAACATGTGTTTTCAAACAATATAATAAAACCTGAGGCTTAGGATTTAATAGGATGTAGCATATGTAAATAAATTCCCTGGGAATTCCCAGGGAACAATAAAAATATTGAACTTTAGGTTATAAAACGAGGGAGGATATTTGCCCTAATTACAATATATACTTTATGTATCAATTTTCTATTTTTTGTTAAAAAACTTTTTACTGAATATGTAGAGTATTTTAATTTTATGTATATATATATATATATATATATATATATTTATTAATTTTTAATTAAGTATATTAGAATATTGCAAAAATGGACAGATGTTTATAAATAATACGATTTTATACTAAAAGTAATACTGTATTCAAATAAATTATTAAAATTGGTTAATTTATTGACCATTTTTTAGCTAAAATAGCAAATATGAAAAATAAACAATTTTTTATTGTATTGACTTAGATTATATTTATTTTAATAGGTTTTTTAAATACTAATTTTATTATATATATTATATAAATTATTTGTTATATAAAAAATTAGTATAAATAGACTCTATTTAATAGAGATAACACTCAAGTAATTTAGTCTAAGACAAAGTCAGGATCACTATCGACAATGTTTGCCGGTTTAGCTATCATATCAGCTACCGGTGTGACGACTAATTTAGTACTAATTAATTGATGACAACAATCATATCGATTACAAGATGTACTTTATTAGTCAGTACTTAATTATAATATTTTGTTACAAATTAATAAATATAAAAAACAAAAATAAGGTGTGAATCCTACAAACAGAAATTTCTTTTAGAAACTTTTATATTTGTCTAAAATGTATTTCAAAATCAGATTTCAATTTTTATGAGTTAATGACTTTGTAATTTTAAATATTTATTTTACTATTGATATAAAAATTAATTTATTTAATAATTTATTTCATGCGTTTTGTGTATACTAACAAATATGAGTTTAATGAATATTATGTAATGACTACCTTTTGTGTAATTTTGGATAATAGTTATAATTTGTAGAAACTAATTATATGATATATGTTAGTAAACCTAAAATTAAATGCCTATAATTATAAAAATAATATATTTAATTAGTTTATCTTAATTTATTCATTACTTTTTTATTATATCGAAGAAATATCCATATATGTGATGATACATTATAAGTATATATACTGTATTAAATATATGTTTAATTGATTTAAAAATTACAATAAAAGTAAAATATATATAATTTATATAAGTCAAACATAAATAACAAAAATAATATTAAAGAAATTTAAAGTAATTTATATTTTGCTTACTTTCTCTGCAATATTTTTGTTTAAAAATTTCAAGAAATATAATTAAAATGTTGTATATATATAAACTAGTTTAGTTTTTGTAAGGTTCAACTTTTATATATTAATTATTTTGAAAGTTAAATTGATTTAGCATTGCTAAATGAAATGTCATTTTATGCAATATTTTAACATTAATAAATTACTAAATCAATTCTAACCATTTATGAACTTTTAAAAATTAAAAATAAAATAAAATTATCAATCTTGACACAAACATATTATCATTTTACTGTATTTAATTATAATAGATAATTAACATTTAAATAAATATCAATAAATAATTATATCAAATGTAGTTTTATTTAATAAATGTCATATAACAGCACCAAAAAATATTAACTATAAAATTATATTTTAAATATTTATTATTGTATTTAATCAATAAATTATTTATTTCAATTTTTATTTTTTTTGTGTTATTTACGACATAAATTATTACAAATTTTTGTAATAATAAATTACTTCATCTAATATTTTATAGTTAATATTATATTATTCATAAAAATTATTAATTTTATACAAATTAACATTTATTTTATATTATGCATATTGTTACACAAATGATTTACTAATTTATTTGTAATTTATGATAGTTATTTTATGTTTCTTTAATTTATCAATATTATTTTAGAAAATTTTATTAGTAATTGTATCTTTAAAATAATATATATTAATTATTTATTATATAATATTAAAATGCAAAAAATGGTAATTATATAATATTAATAAAACATATTTGTTGGTTTTTTATACTTATAATTAATCATATCATTTTTAATAACATTTAGATAATATAATATTATTATAATATTCAATCAAATTGGTTTCAATTTCTATGCTAATATCTTTATATAACATTTTGTCATGTGGTATAATTACATTTTTATTTAATATTTATTATAAAATGATAATTATTTATGTTTTTATATGTTAAAAATCCAAAACAACGTTTTAATTAAAACAAGCTTTGAATAAATTTGCTAAACAAACTGATAATGCGTTACCTCAAGATTGAGTATAATAAAATTTTCTTAAAATATACAATAAACTTTATAGAAACTTTATTTTAAAAATTTTTAATTTATTATTTTAATAGAATTTTTATAATAATTGTTAAAGATTTTATCAAAAAACTATATATTATCTATACTACTATATAATTTGACCATGTTTGCTTATATTTTCGCAACGTTTTTTGTGGAAGCTATAGATATAAATACTGAAAAGTTAACTTCAAATAGGCTACAAAACATAGTATTTTTGTACGGTTTAACTATTAGTATATAAATTTATAACAAGATATTAAATATTATATGAAAATGTATTTTTTAAACAATTTATAGCTTTATATCAATATCTAATATTTAATTAATAATTTATATTTAATTTGTAATAAAATTTAAATGATTTTTTTTGTTATTTATATTATCCTTAATATAAAATTTACAAAACATACAATTATTACAAAAATAAGTTTACAATATTGATAAGTTTTAGTTAGAGAAATTTATTGAAAACTTGCAAAACTTGCCATTTACTCAACACTAGTGTCACTATTACTTAATCCAAACAAAAGTAAAATCTCATTATAAAAAGGTGTCAAACAATTTATTATAACAAATAATCTATAATATGTATAAATAATAATTATATTGTTATTATATTATACTTGATAATGGGTGTATATACGGTACATGTAAATTATTTTATTAAAACAACAAATTTAATTTATATAAAAATTAAATTTAAAAAAAATAGTTTTATCAATCAATATTACATTTGGTTTATATAAAAACATAACAAACAATTAAAGTAGCCTTAAAGTTGATATGTGGTTTTTACATACTATAAAAATTTTAATAAATTATAACACATTTATTTAATATCATATCTCCATATATTGATTATTGATATATTATAAGTTGTCCTTTACTTAACTCTTAAAACAAATGTTATCGATAGCAGACCTAATTAATAGTGACTTTTAATTTATACTGTATATAAAAATATATTAATTAATTAAAAATAATTAACTGTTCAAAGTTGACATTTATATAATAAAGGCAAGTAGTATCACAATTAATTAGTATTTTATCAAATCATAAATAATTAGAGGGTAAGTGAGACATAATTAGTTTAAAATAAAATTTTAATCTCTCTCTCTCTCTCTCTCTCTCTCTCTCTCTCTCTCTCTCTCTCTCTCTCTCTGTGTGTGTGTGTGTGTGTGTGTGTACCGCTTGTAGATATAATAAAAACAATATTGTCAATTATTAAATACGGTACTACTGTATAATATCAATAAATTATAAGAGCATAATATTTTTGTTTATTACATATTCAATGACCAAATTTGTTATAACTTAATTTAAACTAACTTTTAATTGTATAGTGTAATGTCAAAATTATAAATATTTAAGAGCATATAATTAAACTAAATTTGTATTTAATTAAAATAATATTTTTGAAATGTTAACTAATATTTATTTTTATTCAAAATTATTTATACAGTTATAAAAATAGATAATAATGAAATGATATACTGTTGTAGACTATAATAATAAACAAAATATAAATATATATATTTTTACATTTATATCATTTCATATTTTAATATTCATCAATAGAAATTTCATAATTAAAATAATAAATATATTTATTATAACAATTATTTTTTGGCTAAAATAGTTTTTACGGTAATATTAAAAGTTAAAAAATAACATAAAGTAAAAATCTGTTACAGATATTTACAATAACACTGAATCAGCAAAATCTGTAAACATTTAAAATTAATTATAATTTAAATTATACTTATGTTTACATACTGTATAAATAAATTAGTGTAAATATATTTAAATGTATATAAAAAATTAATTATTCTAATAAAAAAATCTAATAAATTTTATAATAATACTCATATTATAATATTTAAATATAACATTCAAAATAAAAAGTGATTTAATGTAATTGTGATTAAAAACTGTTTTATGCATATTTAGTAAAACAAACTTTTGTAATAACCGCTAACAATGTTTAGTAGATTTAATGTGTAAAATCCTATAATTTTCGTGACTGACCCTAATGTTATACATTTATTTACAATATAATTAGTATACAGTTATAAGTAAAAACTTAGTAAAAGTGTGTATTTCGACATAGTTTTTACAATTGTTGATAATATAATATTATTTTATATGTAATATTTTAATTCATAAAATTATTAATGAATTAGAAAATAAGAAACAAAATTATATCTAGAAAAATGTTATTATATTTAATAACTATTGAAAATTTCAATAATAATCATCTTGATGAATTAGTTTTATTAGTAATTGAATTTATATAATAGAAAATTGATTTTTAAATT